TCCCGGCTCCTCGCGGCCCGGGCAGCGCTCAGTCCGCGGCCGGCCCGCCTGGCGCCATCTTCCAGACTGGCCGAGAGTTTCTCCGTTCCTCTCCCTTTCCCCGACCTGCCCGCCGGCTTCCTGGAGGCGCCGCGCCGGCTCGCTCTCGCCGGCGCGACCTTTACTCCCGCGGCGGCCTCGGCGCCAGCCCCCGGGTTGTGCCTGAGGGCGCCGAGGTCCCGTGGCGCGTCCGGCCCCGCCTCGATCACAGCCCGCCACCTCCTAGAGCGAGAGGTTGCCCGCCGGAGCCTGCGGCGTTCAGAGGCTAAAGCGTCTGCCGCCCAGGGCACCCGCGCGCTGAGCATTCCGAGGATACCCACCGTTGGGGGTGGGGTGCAGGAGTGGGTCTACGCGCGACCTTTCTAGTGCACAGTTTAGTCCTAGTGGCGAAAATGCGGTGCCTAGGCCCTTAGGGAGAGGGTGACGGTCCCCTTCTTAAAGGGATCGAGACTCCCGTTCAGCCCCCGGGTGCCAGATCTTTGGTGTAATCTGTATGCTAATGAATGTATTAGCAATCCAGATGACGGATGCGGCCCGGATAGGCGGCGGGGTCCGGCATGGCACCAATCAGAGAGCTAGACTGTGGGGAGGTCGGCGTGCTTGCTTACCTTTTCACCTCTGAAGAAGTCGCGTCTTTAACCCTGCTCAGTGCCAGCCTGGCTGAGCTGGCTGTGGCAGCGTTGAATGTCTGCGGTGGGAGGAGCTGTTAGGGCTCCTTGTAAACCGGGGTCTTCATTTTACAGATGGAGAAACTGAGACCCAGAGGAAGGTCACCCGGAGAGTCAGTTGCCAAATCTGGCGACGAAGGTCTGTCGTTGCAACTCCATAGTGTCCTTTAATTGTTAACAGGAAAAACAAACAAACAAAAAAAAAAACCGAGAAGAGTGACGGTGAGGGAACAGTTTGCTGAGTGTAGCTTTTTCCTGGGGTCTGCACCCAGGGTGGTTGGAATGCTCCACACTGAACACAGCATCTGGAAGTGAGGCAGCTGCCACTAAGCCAGTAATTGTTTGAATGTGACTGGGCAGATGACTTAAAGGTGTGAGAACTGACGCCTGAGGTCTGCCAATTTCCCAAAGAATGTTGATATACTAGGGCAATAGCCCAAATCATTAATAATCTCCACTTATTACCTGTATGTTATATAGATTATATTATTGGATAATTATATTGAGTGAGTCTGTTTTTTCCTGTAACATATAGCAAAGGTGTAACTTAGAGCAGGCACAAGGACAGGAGTAGTTTTGGCCAAGCCCTGTGGCATCTCGGCAGTGGTGGACAGGGGACCAGAGCTGTAGCTTCTCTCTCTCTCCTCTCTCTCTCTCTCTCTCTCTCTCTCTCTCTCTCTCTCTCTCTCTCTCTCTCTCTCTGTGGCTGCAGTGGGGAAGTGGCAGAAACAGGTCTGCAACTTGGGTCTCACTAGGAAGCTTATGCATTGTCCTCCCAGAGATGCAGTGAAAGTGACAAGCAATTGTACTTTAGGATGTAGCTAGTTGCTTTTCTCCTTACCTTCATCAGGGCTTTTGTTCTCCACTAGTTAAATTTTCCAAACTCAGTATTAGAGCCCCACAGACACAGACACCTATGGCCAGCTACACAGTCTCTCATTGCCTGAAATCTAGTTAGCTAGCATTTCACAGGAAATAATTCACAGAGTCTGGTGTGTGTTGTGTGTGTTATCTGACAAATAGTGGGAGGACCCAAAAGTTGACCTGGGCTAAGATATTTATTTTGGATATCTCCAGCCTTAAATATCTCAAATTACCCTTTAACTCACTCCCTTGCTATATAAGTACTTAATTATCCTGCAGTAGGGGAAGCCCAAATAGAAAACCTGAAAGGCAAGGACATCTTCATTGTAAGCCCCACCTTTCAACTAACCACAAACCCTCCCTGGCTCCCTCCATCACCTCTGCTTCTAAGCTCAGAAAGAAGGAGCAACCACATTCTGGCAGGGGGCCAGGTCATCCTGACAAGAAAGTCCTTTCCAGGATCTCGAAGCTTGCTCCCTGCGCGTGGGTCACACATGCAAAAGTTTTCCCTGCCTTTCCAAAGGTTTAGGAAGAGAAGTTAAATTTCACAACTTCTTTCCATTTTACTCTCAGTAGACCATGGGGTCAAACCCACTCTTCCATGTGATGCTTCTGCCAGTGTATAATTTGCAAGCCTGAATTATTGTAATGCTATAGTACTATGCCAAGAACTTCCAGAGCACTTGTGTATCTGCTCAACCTCTACACGCTCTGTGTATAATTAACCCTCCCCAGCATCTCTGCAATCTGGTGTTGTTTCCAGTCTACAGATGGGTTACAGACCTAAGGTGGTATTTACTCCAAGCAGGCAAAAAACACATGGATGTTTTCCTTTGGGAACTAGTAGAGGCACACCTTGTAAGACTCAGAGTCAGAAGCAATCATTCTGAAAAGAAACAGAAAAGTTTCCTGAGGATGATGTCAGAGAAACAGTGTATTCAATGGTTTGAGGAGACAGACTTGTGGAAAGAGGATCAGTACACTGCAAAGACTGACTGTTTTCAGAGCCAGCCACTTCACTGTACAGAGAGAAAACAGGGGCTAGCAAAGGGACAAATATGAGTCAGTCACAGCTAAGACTGTACCCAGTCTCTTAACATCACAAACCCAACATCTGGCTCACCATTCCTGGCCTTTTTGACTTTGATGTTGTTCTTGACCCCTGCTTTCTTATTGAAAGGGCTGGGCATGATCTGTCCTATATCAACTCATTATAGGCCAACCATTGCTCAAGACGAGGACATGGTTGCTCGTTCTCTTCGCTGTCTTCTAGTATCTGGAGATTGGCTGTACCGCTGCTGGAGGCTGGGGAAATGGTGCCACCACCCCAACAGACTCATCTACATCTTTTGGTTAAGTCCATCAAATGTCAATGTCAATGCCTTGCTGTGAGCCACCCCCAGGGGATGCAGAGATGATTCCCATGACAGTTCTGACTCTACCAGTAATGTACAAGGCAAGACGAGGGAAGGACAGGACAGGACCAGAGACAAGGGGCCTTGGGGAAGGGAACGGAATTGAAAGAAGGTAGGTCATGGAAGATTTCTTAGAGACATTCATATCTGAGCTGGGCCTTGAAGAATAAGTAGCATTTGGATATGGGGAATGTCGGTAAGAAAATTCCTGGCAGAGGGAATAACAGAAGGAAAGACATCAAAGCAGGAACATCTGGTTTAAGTGGAGGAATATGAAAAGCTGAGTGCTTGTGAGGAAATGAAATGGTGGGTAAAGGTAGAAAGATAGGCTGCGCCCCATCGAGAAGAGTCTTCAATAGTAAACTAAACGGAATGGAACTTTACAAGTTATAGGAAGTGACTAGAGGTCTTTGAGCAAGGAGATGACCTAATTATTTCTGCGTTCAATGGAGATCATTTGGGAAGCAGTGTGGGGGATGCATTTCATGGGGAGAGACAAAAAGTAGGCCGAGCAGATAAAAGAATGTCACAGACCACACTGCAGCACACTGGTATGCTGAAGGCTCTCAATATCTGTTGGTAGAATGAACGCATACTGTTGATCTAGTGGAAGAAGCCATCTTTGAGGGTTGACTCTCTAAAACTCCCAGGTCTTTTGACTTTGGGCTGCCTGGTACATAGTGTTCAGACCATTCTGAATGAGAAATAATGTTGGAGGAAAGAGAAAGAGGCAATTTGAAGGGGAGGATGTTTGACTTGGTACTAGCGGTCATGTGTAAGCAGATGTGAAGTTCAGAGCAGAGGACAGGGTTAGAGACACAGATCAAGGAGTCACTAGTGCTCAGTGAAGAGCCTAAGCCAAACCCTTAGTCATCCTGGATGCCTTCTTTCGTTCCTCCTCCATCCAATCCACCACCAAGGAATATCCAGCCCCTGCCACCTCTCACCACTCCCACAGCTTCCACCATAGTCCCACACTTTTTCATCTCTTGCCTGGATCATTGCAGGCATTTGTTCCTCACTTTTCTGCTTTTGTCTCAATAATGTAGCCAGTGAGCATGTTAAAATGGAATCTGTGTTCCTCTTCCACTCAAATTCTCAATATAGCCAGACATCTCTAGTGGTAAATGCACAAATCCGTCTGGTGGCCCATGAAACCTTATATGACCTGGTCCCCTTAAATTCCCGACATCTTGTGTCCAGCCCAGCTTTGCTATTCCTCGGGCCTTTAGTATTGTGGCCTCCTCTGCCTGGAAAGCCCACAGAAACCCCCCTCCCCACCCAGGGCCTACCTACCTTTCTCTCCCTCCAGGTCTTTACTTAAATGTCAACAGCTCAGGGAGGCTGCCCCAGGGCACCATATCTAGAATTGTCA